AAAAAAAAAAAGCTGAAGCCCTGGACCCCGAATCCGAAGCCCCTGAGTTCGCGTGGAGCTCCTAGGACTCCTCGGAGCTCCGGGCCGCAGTGGCCGCCGTGCTGCCGGAAGGCCAGGGGTTCGGTTTAGGGTTTAGGGATTTGGGTTTAGGGTTTAGGGTTTAGGGTTTTAGGGTTCAGGGTAGTTTAGGGTTTAGGGTTCAGGGTTTAGGGTTTCAGGGTTTGCCGTAGAGTGGCGCATAGCGGAAGTATTTAGCGACAGTGTAGTTTCGAGTGCATCTGCTGGAGCTTGAATGTGGAGAGCTCCTTTTTTTCTCTCCGACCCCACACCGTCTGAGGCGGCTAAACCACCCAAACCTATTCATTTTAGGGTTTAGCTTTAAACTCATTCCATGGTTTTCTTCTTTACTTGAAGCTCGTTCATGCAGCAAGACTAAGAGCAGGACAGGGCAAGGGCAGGAAGGCAGGCAGGCGTGAAACCAGCAAACAGGGCGGGCAAGCAGGGGCAGCAGCCAAGAGGGCAGGACCGGAAAGGCCAGCAGGAAGGCCACTGAGGCTTGGGGGCAGCGAGGGGCCAGGGGGCCAGGGGGGTCAGGGGGGGCCCAGGCCAGGGGCGGCCCGACACCTTGAAATTTGCTGGCCCGGGGGCTGGCGACAAGACCGGGCTCATCGGCTTGCGCAATCGGGCAAAGGCGCCGCATAGGTGAATGGCCGGCTGAGCAGAAAAGTCCGACGTCAAACTCCATCGGCCTCGGATTGCGCGTAGGAGGCCGTGGGGCATGGGGCCTTGTGATGGCCGCGTCATCACTTTCTTCTCCCACCCGCGCCGTAGAGTGCGGTTCCCACCCTTAACCAGCTCCGCCTTTNNTTTTCCTAAACTCCTTTTTTTCTTTTGCTGTGGCCATGTCTTGAGTTAGAACGTCGCCTTTTTCTTGGCCCGTACATGAACCTGATTGATGCAGTCGTCGAGGAAGGCCATGACGGGGCTTTACAGTATGAGGGCATCGACTACCATCAAGCGACGTTGGACGATGCTTATACGACATTTCAAGGAATCTTGGAGCCATGTGACAAGCCTTTTCTCGGAGCGCTTGTCGGAATGATCGCAGATCCAACCATTGGTCAGAGGCATTCGAAGCGGTGGACAGGGCCACGCGCAAAAACCATGTTCAAGGCATCAGTTTTGATTATGATGACATTAATTAGTTCTAGCAGTGGATGCAGGTCGTTTTCTTAGTGATATAATTTAACTATGTAGTACCAACCGCAATCTTCCATAGGAGATGTCCACATAACTGACGCCATCGCCTGACGGCCACATCTTCGGCAGTATTATGGCCTACGACCAGACAAAATGAAGACAAGCAGCAACAGACACCATCCCGACTCTCCCCAAGGCTTGTGACCAAGACGAACAATCGTAGCCAAGCTAAACCCCAAAATTGGACCCTGGTGGGTGCCGTTGTTCGCTTCTCATGAGTACCTTTGTGATCAAGACGAACAATCGTAGCCAAGCTAAACCCAAAATTGGACCCTGGCGGGTGCCGCTGTTCGCTTCTCACAAGTACCAATGTGATCAACACGAACAAGCAGTAGAAGCAGGAGTTGGAGTATTATAGTAGTAGTAGTAGTAGTAGTAGTAGTAGTAGTAGTAGTATAGTAGTAGTAGTAGTAGTAGTAGTAGTAGCAGAAGCAGTAGCAGTAGCGGTAGCAGTAGCAGTAGTAGTAGTA